ACTTCTTTACATTCATAAAAAAGATGTTTAGTTGTTTCCAATTGAGTTGTACAAAAGCCACAATTCTCAACATTAAACTTAAATCTCTCTCTTAAAAACTCATTTGAAGGATATATGTTATTTATTATTTTAAATTGTAATTCTTTATATTTAGGAGGAATTGGGAATTTCAAATAATTTGTCCTAATTTTGACTATCATAGATTTCTTAAAATTTTGTAAGAGAGCTGTGCTTTTTGTTCTTCCTGGGTACATATTATTTATAGAATATTGATTCAAAAACTTGTTGTTGCATTTATTATCTCTAATGTCCACCTACTCAAATTCAATCTTATGAAGACAAACAATTGCAATTGCAAACAATTTATAGGTGCATTACCGCCACCTTCCAGAATGGAGCGACGCAAGCTCTTCTCGCGAGTCCTTCCGTATAACAATGACGTCGTATGTGATTGGAGGAGCCTGATGAGCCCTCGGCCCCATCGTCCAATCACGTGTGAGCTTTTGTGCACTACGACTTCTCGCGAGACCAGCATATTAGCAGACATGTTTGTGTTACCTTTATTATGGATATCTATGCTCAGAAGAGCTTCATCTCCAGTTACCGTGTTTGTATTTTGTTGTTACGTGAACAATGGCTGCACGACGTCTCGCGTTCAACTCGCCTCCAACTGCTCTTAGTCCACAACTTTCGGCCAGCCCGCAGACTGACGAGAAGAAACTGCTGATTGCTATCAGCGGACTGTCTCGTCAGCTTTGCGAGACAACTTTGCGGGATATACGAACTTGAGGAAGAGAAGACGGGTGCACAACGCCACGCTAGCGGTAAATATATGTTCGATTACTGGTAGCTATGCTAAAAGCAGCCTAGCTTAGCTAGGCAAGCTAAAGACACCCTAGCCTAGCTAGGTAAGCTAAAAGCAGCCTAGCCTAAAGCTTTATTAAAGTGTATTTTTTGTGATTCACAGGAAGCATTATGCCGTCTTAACAACTCGGAGAATAATTGCAGGCGCTATGAACCGGAGCAGGGGTAAGGTTTAAAGAATATGCTTTCATTCTGCGGTAAAAGGACATGGATACAGATGGATACCGACCATAGCTGTACTTTTTTTTTTTCCACAGACTACAGTCGCCTCACAATGAGGCGGGTGACCTCCTATTTGCTCGGATTTGCACGATGTTGATAAAGACGACATTGTGTGTAAGTGACTTGTTTTAATGTTTTCTCCTTCCTTGTTACTGTGACTTGCGTTTGATTTTTTTTTTTTATTCATACCACTCTCATTGAATTGTTTTCCAGCTGCCTGTAAGACGTATTATGAGACGGTATGCAGGAGCTTCAGATACACGCTGCTAGCCAGCACGCTGCGTGCGGAGGCTGCCAGGCTATCTGCTCTGAGTCGGGCCAGAAGAAAGAGGGTAAGACTTTATTTGGTGACTATTTTTCAGGTGCATTAATAGATGTGTTGTGTCCATATGCAGTGCGCTGATTCATTGTTTTTTTTTTCAGCTGCTGAAGGCGAGGCAGAGTGTGCTGGCAGATGAGGAAGTGGAACTCTGTAAGTCCGCCACCGTCGACCTCATGTCCGACGAAGAAGATGGCGTCGTCGGCGGTGTCTCTGGATGGATTGTACGGTCGCCGCCATTTCGTAGGCCGGATCTCACTGAACTCTGTGTTAAGCTGCAGTCCCGGTTAGAAGCGATGCCGAAGTACAGGGCCACGCACAGTAGGCGTCTGCACATCGGACCTGCCTCGGAGGGAATGCTGCCAGTTACCTCCAACCCCGAGGAAGCAAACGGACCGTTCACGGAGTTGTAATTTTTAGATACCCATGTGTTTGGATACGCGTTGTATATAGTTGTGTGTGTTTTAATAAAGCTCTTTCTTTGCATAAACAGCTTCCTGGCAAATCTTCATTTCCTGTATAAATTCATTCATGTCCTTGATGGTAGCATAATAATTGTGTAGTAGTGTAGGATAACATAAATACACAGCATATGAATGAATAAATATATGAATATATATATATGAATGAATAAATATATACTGTATATATGAATAAATATATATATGTAAATATATATATATGCCAACCAATCACGAGCGACTTTACTTGTTTAAAAAGAAGTGGTTCCGTCCAATACTCAGTAAGAAAATTAAAGCCTGGCGTGGCCACGTGTGGTTTTGCTGCCAATCACGAGCGATTTCATTTGTTTGAGAATAGTGGTTTCAGCCAATACTGAGTAGGTTATTCAAGCCAGACCTGGCCAGCCGCGCGGGTTTGCTGCATTCATATGCTAATTAGGGCCATTAGTACAGCTGATCGCTCTCCACATACGTCACGGTACGTTTCCGACAATTTGTGGCACGACAAACGCGGACAAGCACGGGTTGCAAATTGTCGGAAACTGACGAAAATCAGGCAGATCTGCGGGAGTTTACGGGGGTTTACGGCGACGAAAATCTCACTTTTCATGCAGTGAATGAAAAACTCCTTACAGGATCCAGCAGTTAGCAGCAGTATCAGAACCACAGAGTACATGATTGATGCTGAAGCTCAACTGATGGAAGCTGTTTGTTCCTCTGACTAAAGCAGATAAATGATTTCCTTTTATAGAGATTGAATTTACATATTTTTGAGGTTCAAACTAAATTGTTTCTTTGTTAGAAATTGTTCTTACACTCCTAAAATACGCACTTCGATTTTGAATCTCTCCATCATTGTTTTTTCAAGAGAGTAGAGGCGAAATTTATGAAATGATTACATTTCTCTATTTTCATATCTCCAAACTGAAAACTGTTGATAAGCTGTACAAAAAAATAGCCACAGACAAGAAACAGTTGGATTTGGTTTCTGTCAAATGGAGTCTAGGCGGAAGTTGAACTGAATAGACTGATTACTCACCTTTATCCACCTACGACACAGCCATTGAGCTTTGAACCGCGCCCCCACGAAAGCTAATCTGCATCCAAAGTTCATCTTAAAAGGCCTCTGATCCACAACTCGTCTGCTACCTGGTGCGCAGGTGGTGGTTACGCTGTGTCTGTCTTCTTTCAGATGACCACATTTCAATCACCTCCAGCCCCTCCTCCACCATCAGAGTTTCATACTTCCTGGACTCTTACTGCATTCTGCATCTCATTTCAACTGGTACAGCAGAAGATTGCCATTTTGAGCCTGGTTCTAACAGAGGTTTCTCTCCAATGGGGAGTTTTCCTCTCCACTGTCGTTTTATGCTTGCCTATCTTGGACAGGTTCTCTCAACCTGTGTTATCCAAACCAGACTTCCATCTTCCAGGTCCCTGAGTGTAGCACTGCAATCAGCTCACGCAGTCCACTAGATCTCTCCATAAAGCTCAGCATACCGTTTCGCCTACCAGCAGTCTACGGACTGACCAACTTCAGCTATCTCCACTCCACCATCAGTTTCAGGCCTGGGGGGAAGCAGCAGTGTTCTTTACTCCTGTTAATGCATATCAATCACAATTCAGATGTGTTTCCTGCCGAGGTCTGAACGCCAAAGACTAAAGTAATTGTAACTATAAAGTTCTTCTGATTGTCTTCTCTACTTGTGAGTTTTTCAGATTGAAATTACTATTGACAAAGTTAAGCGCTGCAAAGTGGAGCACTTTGTAGCACTGTTGTCTTGCAGCAAGAAGGTTCTGGGTTTGATCTACAGTCTTTCTGAATTAAGTTTGCACGTTTTACCTGTGTATGGTTTCTCTCCAGGTACTTCAGCTTCCTTCCACAGTCCAAAGACATTACTGTTAAAAGGGTACTCTAAATTGGCTTTAAGAGTGAGTGTGTGGCCCTGCCCATAGACTGCTGGAGATAGGCATGGGTCCCACCACATACGTATATGGATGGATAGGTGGATAGATGGAACTTAAAACCTGCTCCCAAGCTTTTTTCTTGTCTCAATTGATCCGGCTACTGGAGCTGATAATGATGGACATCAAGACTTAAAGTGTTCTAAGTTCATTTTTATTGCTGATCCTTTTTCCCGTTTGATCTGTTAAGACAGTTAATTGACATAAAATATCTAAAGCAAATGGCTTAGTTGCTAAGAGTAATCTTTATTAACAGAGGTGTCGTAGGTATTAATGTTTATTATTCAAGTAGAAGTATAAATCCTACTGTTTAAAAATATTTTTGGAGAAGTTAGAGTATCAACTTAATCTTTTTTTTTTTAAGTATTAAAGTATAAAAGTAAAAATAAGGCAGGAAATATGTTGAGGACAGATGCTTTAAACCTTATACTCGTTATGGCCCAACCCTATATTATAGGACATTTTTTTTCTGCAAGTTTGGATGATAACTTCCTTATACTTTATTTTCTTAGTTTTATAGCTAATGATAACAGTGTCATATTTAACCTTGCATCATCTTGAAAAATTATTTATTTTGGTATGTAATGAACAACAGTTTGGAGCGGTACCGAGTCGAACCACAAAGAAATTAATACTCTGGATAAAACAAATAATTTTGATGGGTTTTTTTTTTTTTAAATACCAACAGGCCATAACAAAAATTTGCTTAAATGAAACAAAACTCACAAATCTATTTTTAAATTTTAAGGAGTAGAAAGTAGAGACAATTGCAAAAAAATGTAAGTAGTAGAAGTAAAATGCTGTCTAAAAAATAATTATTCCAGTAAAGTATAGATGGACAAAATTTCTACTTAAATAAGGTAACAAAGTATTTGTACTTTGTTACTTGACACTTCTGTTTATCAATGATATAAAGACCTCTAAAACCTAAAAGACTTGCTAAACATAATTGGCATGTATTCTTCTCCATTAAAAGGATGTTTGATGCTGGGGTAAAGAGCCAGGAGGAGTGTAGGCAGACAAAGTCTGGCTAATAAATAATAGAATAATAGAAATAGGTTTGATATTTATTGAATAACTTTGTCAATATTTATTAGACAGAGACCAGATGTCTATATGATCCTATTGTTTCTTGTTTGTGGCTGTTTTTGTACAGCTGCTCCACTGCTTTAAGTCACAGTGTCTCTCCGAGCACAGAAGTAAACAGCAGAATCTTCTGCTGTTAGTCTGCTGATCTCAAGGTACTGGGTGCTGCTGGGGACATTTTCAGTCATGGTGAAACGACTTTGAAAGGAGCTGGCATAGGTGGGATTGTTGTTACCAGTGCTCATATATCCAATCCACTCCAGAGCTCTCCCTGGTTTCTGTCTTATCCAGTGCATATTAGGGCCTGTCATGCTGTAACCAGAAGCGACACAAGACATCTTCACTGTGTCCCCAGGTCTCTTCACCTGAGAGGCTGATTGATCCAGTCTAACCTCACTCCAGACTCCTGTAAGAAAACAAGTCATTGTCATTTCAGTCAAAATTATGAATCTTTGTATAAATATCAAAGAAATGAACTGAAATTCTCACTCTGAAAAAGAACTACAAAAACAAAACTCCAGATGCCTGATTTCTCCATCCCAAGAGCAAAAAAACCTTTAACTGGAATCTGGAAAAGTTACTTATTGTGTCCAATGGAAACTGCACAAAACTGCAGATGGCATTGTTTTAAAAGAGGAAGAGTTTGCATAGACCCTCCCCAAAAACTGTTTTCCTAGATTAAACCTAAGTCTAAACTTCCAGCCCATTTGTAAATTTTAAAACTGTAGTTAAAAACTTTATTTGTGTGTCATGCTTTCTACTAATTCAACTCTGATATAAGTATCAACCGATGCTTTTTTTAAAGAAGCCATGTATAAATATTACCTAATTTGATTTTATGATTATATTTTTTGTTCAAGTTTTCATATAAGTTTTTACATATTTATAAGTAAGACTGTTTCTTGAAAATTACTTCACACAAAACTGAATTTTTTTTATTGAAAACTACTTGGTAGTAGTTTTTAACATCACAGAGTCGGACCAAAATGGACTGAACAAGCTGGTGAGGAGGGCAGCTTCTCTTCTGGGGTGCGCTCTGGACTCAGTGGAGGAAGTGGCCGAGAGGAGGGTGTTGTCCAATCTGACATCCATCATGGAAAACACTTTGATCCCCTGCACCAGACTGTAGAGGAGCCAAGCAGCTCCTTCAGTAACAGACTTACAGTATACACCCCGTGTTTAAAAAGGAGTGCTACCACAGGTCAGTAATCCCTGCTACCATCAGACTTAGCAATGCCACTGCAATATAACCTGGTGTAATAACACTGCATTAGCGTGTACTATTTATCTATTTAACAAACCAGAAACTACAATTAGCGGCCACCAGTATACTGTAAAAAGATAAGATATTGTATATATTAGTCACCTTAAATCTCTTCTTTATTTTCACCAACCATTGTATATATCTGGATGCACTATATATATTTCATGCACCTTTTTTCTCCTTTGTGCACCTTCTGTTTGTTTGTTTTTAAAAGAGTAGAAGTTAGAAGCGAATTTCTCCAGTGTGAGACCAATAAAGTTCTATTCTATTCTATTCTATTCTATTCTATTCTATGCTATTATATTATATTCTATGTAAATGTAAACATTTGCCTGAAGATACCATGTTAGTTTTTTAAGAGTGTCATTTGTAAGTAGTTTTCTTTTCTTTTAATATTTGTGGACCAAAAACTAAGTGAGACGGTTTTCTTCAGTCTTCTGAAAATGTATACCTTCTTTGTATTTTGTTGAAAGTTATCTTTTGTTAAGGCACATGGTTATTTCTGTTTTCTTAAAGCAAAAAAGCACACCCTCATGAAATCCCTACTTCCAATTTATGTATCTGAAGCATTTCAAATTTAAGGCTCAGAAAGGTTTATGGAGGACCTGCTCAAAAAATACTAAGGCATAAAATTAAAAAGGCAAAGTTACATAAAATAAATAAATGTAGGCATTAATTAAACAATTATATCACAAGGATTATACAGTGAGAAATAAATGTATGAATAGATTTATTTATGTTTAAGTCTTTATTTTTTCCTTTATATTTCTAACACCCTAGTTATTTCTGCCTGTCCTTTTTTCTTTTCTGTATGCATTTCTCTCTCATTATGCAAATGAGAAGGGGGTGGTTTTAAGGGGACAACTTCAAATCTTGAGTCTATTTGTGGTGTAAGAGCTCCTCCTCTGGTGTTTTGGACAACAGGTGTTTAGACTCAGAAGGGTTTTTGTACAGCTCTGCTGATGGGTTGTTTCACTGTGGCCGTCTTGCGCAGTAATACACAGCAGTGTCTTGGGGTTGCATATTGTTTCCGTTCAGAGTCACAGTTTTACTGGAAGCATGAACTGTAATACTGAACTTGTTCTTTAAAGAATCCTTGCGATTTCCGCTGCATCCATCACACATGTAACCAATCCACTCCAGTGCTTTTCCTGCAGGCTGTCGGATCCAGTGTGTCTCGTAGCTACCAACAGAATAAGAGACCTGACAGCTGATGGTCAAAGACTGACCTGGCTGCACAGTCATAGAGGCTGGCTGTGTCAACTGTTCGCATCTCACATCTGTTGAAAGAAGCATATATTTTATCTTTAGAGATTAGAAAGATGTTTAAAGACGAAATGTTGAAAATAAACCACCTAAGAAACCCACCTGCAGCTGCAAGGAGCAGAAATAATGCAGCAAAATACATGGTGACTGAGGAAATAGACATGTAGACATGGAAATAGACTGTTCACTACCATTTGTACTGTGAGATTTTATATTGTATAACAAAATAGGGAGGGGGGGGGGATTTGCATATGATCCAACCCACAAAATGACGGGTTAAAAGGGATATCTAAATGTGAAAATAAACTGTAGAGGCCATCAATGTGTTTCCTTATACTTTCTTATCGATATTTTACCTGTTTTACTACTTACTGGTGGCAAATATCTTAATCTAGAAGTCAGACATGGGTTCCTTTCGTATAGTGTGAATTAGTAACTGTTCTGAACCCAGTTCTTTAATTCCTGAGGCAATTTTTCTCAGATTTAAGCAAAAAGAGGGAAAATGTCTTCAAATATTAATTGAATTTATTCCAGTCAGGTATAACTATATCATTGATATTAAACACAAATAACAGAGTAATTAATTTATTACCTCGGGTCTGTTTGTGACTACTGCTCTTTAAAACACCAGTTGCACCGGTCTAAAAGTTTCCATCTATTTATCCTAAAACTAGACACTCTCAGGATGTGGCCTGCACACACTGTCTGCAGTTGTAATCCACACTCGACAACCCAAGTCTTCCTACTTCTAATATAAAAAGAGATGGTTTGTGTTTGAATGTTCGTCTAGTTTGTCTAAATAAAACTTGTGTTACAAACTCTCCTCAAATGTCACAAACAAATTAGACTTGTCTTTCAAGTTTAAATGATCCCTGCTCGCATACAAAACAGTCTCACCTCTCGTACGAGACAATTGTACACACCCCGCAGCAAGTTTCTGCCAAAAGTCACTTGATAAATGATAAATTGTCATTCTGACTAACCGACAGCTGGAGGCTTCATCCAATCAAAACAAGTGAAACGTGCTGGTGTCAAGGTAGTTATCCCTGTGACAAATTTTTTATTTCGCCTCATTTCCAGACAACTAAACGTGAAACTTCAGATATGTTTATGAAAGATGAGTGTTGTTATTTTCTTCTTCCGTTTACATGTTATGGAAACATATCGCCAGTGATATTGGTTAAAAAATTAAAACACGAGTGTTTACTTTAAAATATGAAGCTGACAGTAGGGTCTACTCCTTTCTCTGAAAGCCAACGTTTCCTTATTTGTTTCAACACGTTCCTTAAAAAAATATGTAATTGTTTCCCAGTGTCTAAATGTTCTCATCTCAATGAAAACTTGTCTTGTCTTGTAATAAAATAAAATGAAATAGTAAATGGAGTCTACATCTAGATATTGTAGGCTATTGTAGTTTTTTTTTGCAGTGCTATCTGTACTTTTACTTCGGTAAAGAATATTGATACATTGACACCTGTGGAAGGCAGCATAAGATTTTCTATAAGCAATCTAAATGAAACCTTTCATGAAAGCTGGTACTAAACCTGTGCTTACTCATTAATGCCATTCCGATCAAAAATGTGATGTTGGTCTGTTTTATGCTAAATATTCATATTTAAGAAGTGTAAATAAAAAAAAAATAACACAACTTTAGAAATATATTAACTACAAAAATAAATGTTGCAGCCTACAGACACAAACAGGGGGCCCTAAGGGACTCTCCTACTGGTTGTCTGGTTTTTGTACAGCTTCCACTTTGGTCTGTATCACTGTGCCGCCTCACACAGTAATAAACAGCTGTGTCTTCTGGCTGCATATTCTGTCCTGTTATTGTTACTGTTCCAGCAGAAGTGTCTTTGCTGTAGCTGAACTTGTTCTTCAGAGCATTATTTTGGTAAAAGTCATTATTATGCCCCCACTTATCAAAAATCCATTCAAATGTCTTTTCCTCACACTGTCTGATCCAACCTGTGGCATATGTATCAGTCAATAAGTAACCAGAGGGCCGACAGGTGATGGTTAACGACTGTCCAGACTGGACAACTTTGGAGTCCGGCTGAGACAGATCAATACTTAGGACACCTGTAAGAAGCATGAAAACAACATTAGCATAAGAATTCAGTTAATCTCTAAGTGAATTCAATGTATTTGTAAGTAAGAATCCACCCAAAGCTCCTCACATGATCCAGCTGTCAGCAGCAGCATCAGAGCTACGGATAACATGGTTGAAGCTGAACTGATTTGAGTTCCTAGTTGTGTTGACAAACACAAACCCTTCATCTCCATTTAAACAAGCCTATTTTGCATATTGGGCATGTTTGCAATACTGGTTTCAGAATTACACTGCATAAAAATGTGTTTTGTGTAAGAGGCTTGTAATATTTCTTGCATGGTCATATGTAATTGCTATTTATGTACTTGTTAAAAAAAAAAAGTATTTTATCAGCCCTTTTTGTTTTCCTTAGTTCATACCTGCTTTCAATAGAAGCTTCCTAATTTCAATGACAGTTTACATAATGTAAAAAAAAAATGAAATAAATAGAATAATCCTGGGTCTCATGTTTAAAGCATGTCCGTGCACAAAAAAGGCATCAAAGGAAAATTCAGAATGTCTTGCAGCAATCCACTCACATTTTGACCTGCTGTGAAAGTTTGCAGCAACCAGGGAAACTTTTAAAATCCACAATTAAACAAGCTATAAAATAAAAAAAAGTTTAAAGAAATGTAGTTCTACTAGGGGAATGTATGAAAGTTAAATTTCTGAGTTTGAGCATTTACATTTTAAACTGCAGAGGCCATCATTGTTTTTCTTTATAATATTTTGTCAAAATTTGACCTCTTTTACTACTTACTGGTCACAAATATCTTCATCTAGAAGTCAGACAGGGGCTTCTTTCGTATAGTGTAAATTGGTAACTGTTCTGAACACAGTTTTAGCAAAGCAAAATAGGGAAAATGTCTTCAAGTATTAACAGAATTTATTCCAGTCAGGTTTAACAATATCATTGATATTAAGCACAAATAACAGAGGAATTAATTTATTACCTCGGGCCTGTTTGTGACCACTGCTCTTTAAAACAGCAGCTGCACCGGTCTTAAATTTTCCATCTATTTATCCTAAAACTAGACACTCTCAGGATGTGGCCTGCACACACTGTCTGCAGTGGTAGTCCACACTCCACAACCCAAGTCTTCCTACTTCTAACATAAAAAGAGATGGTTTGTGTTTGAATGTTTGAGTTAGTCTAAATAAAACTTGTGTTACAAACTCTCCTCAAATGTCACAAACAAATAAAACTTGTTTTTCAAGTTTAAATGTTGCACACACAAAAAAAATTGTTTAACAAGCCGGACTCTAACATTGCACTCAAAATATAATTTATAAATTGTCCCCGAGTACAAAATGATCTCTGCTCGCATACAAAACAGTCTCTCCTCGCGTACGAGACAATTGTACACACCCCGCAGCAAGTTTCTGCCAAAAGTCACGTGATAAATGAAGAATTGTCATTCTGACTAACCGACAGCTGGAGGCTTCATCCAATCAAAACATGTGAAACGTGCCGGTGTCAAGGTAGTTATCCCTGTGACATTTTTTTATTCCGCTTCATTTCCAACCTACTCAATGTAAAACTTCAGATATGTTTATGAAAGACAAGCGTTGTCATTTTATTCTTCCCTTTGCATGTTATAGCAACATATCGCCAGTGATATTGATTAAAAAAAGAAAACACGAGTGTTTACTTCAAAATATGAAGCTGACAGTAGTTTCTACTCCTTTCTCTGAAAGCCAAAAGCTCCTTGTCCGTTTCAAGATGTTCTCATCTCCTCTCATTGAAAACTTGTCAACAATAGTCTTGTAATAAAAATGAAATAGTAAATGTAGTGCACATCTACATATTGTAGGCTAAACCCAGTGGGAATATTACTTTGTCCTTCGTCAAATTAGTTAATTAAATCTATATTTGTGTTTTATATTGAATTATAATTTCTCTATGTTGTGCTATCCTTAATAAACAGTGTTTGATCTTTACTTTAGTGAAGGCGTACTTTTGCTTTACCAGAGTCTTTTTTGCACTTCTATCTGTACTTTTACTTCGGTAAAGAATATTGATACATTGACACCTGTGGAAGCCAGCATAAGATTGTCTAGAAGCAATCTAAATGAAACCTTTCATGAAAACTGGTACTAAACCTGTCTTTACTCATTAATGCCATTCCGATCAAAAATGTGATGTTGGTCTGTTTTATGCTAAATATTCATACTTGAGAAGCGTAAATAAAAAACCTCACAACTTTAGCAATATATTAACTAAAAAATAAATGCTGCAGCCTACAGACACAAACAGGGGGCCCTAAGGGACTCTCCTACTGGTTGTCTGGTTTTTGTACAGCTTCCACTTTGGTCTGTATCACTGTGCCGCCTCACACAGTAATAAACAGCTGTGTCTTCTGGCTGCATATTCTGTCCCGTTATTGTTACTGTTCCAGCAGAAATGTCTTTGCTGTAGCTGAACTTGTTCTTCAGAGCATTATTTTGGTAAAAGTCATTATTATGCCACTTATGAAAAATCCATTCCAATGTCTTTTCCTCACGCTGTCTGATCCAACCTGTGGCATATGCATCAGTCAAAGAGTAACCAGAGGGCCGACAGGTGATGGTTAACGACTATCCAGACTGGACAACTTTGGACTCCGGCTGAGACAGATCAATACTAAGGACACCTGTAAGAAGCATAAAAACAACATCAGCATAACAATTCAGTTAATCTCTAAGTGAATGCAATGTAATTGTAAGTAAGAATCCACCCAAAGCTCCTCACATGATCCAGCTGTCAGCAGCAGCATCAGAGCTAAGGAGAACATGGTTGAAGCTGAACTGATGGGAGTTCCTAGGAGTGTTGACAAACACAAACCCTTCATCTCCATTTAAACAAGCCTATTTTGCATATTGGGCATGTTTGCATTACTGGTATCAGAATTACACTGCATAAACATTTGTTTTGTGTAAGAGGCTTGTAATATTTCTAGCTTGGTCAAATGCAATTGCTATTTATGTACTTGTTAAAAAAAGTATTTTATCAGCCCTTTTTGTTTTCCTTAGCTTTTACCTGCTTTAAATAGAAGTTTCCTAATGTTCAATGACA